TTGAAATGGATTCATGGGTTATAATTTGTTCCTATTTCTAATATAAATGGTGGGATACTCGAGTTTCTAGGTAAGAAGTGAAACATAAGCATTTCAAAGTTCATTTTTTGTAATGAAGAGCTCTTAAACAACTTTTCGCTTTTGGGGAGGTGAATTCTTTTATTAAAAGGTTCTAACTTTGGCGATTTGTCAACATTTTGGCGATTTTAAGATCAGTTTCTATAGAAAATTTTTAGTTCCAAGATTGGGAAATTTTACGATGACTTTTATAAAAACATTGTAAAATTGATAAATTTCATTAAAATATTGGTATTATATTTAAATGATATTTAAAAATAAGATTAAAATAAAACATTTTTATTTTTCACTGCCATATTATAAAGTTCCATTTTGGCAACTTACTATACAATATTTTGAATCTGAAAAATAAACAAGGTATAAATGCTATAAAGCACAGTTTACAAAACAGTTCTTAGGAAAAGGAAAATTAGCTATGTAATTAATTAAAAATGGCTTCTTTTTAATTTTTTCATAGTAAAAGTTTTCCATGTGATTAATTCTCTCAGAATATACATCAGTTTTCTCTATAAAATTAATTTTACACTTATCCCCTTTTTTTTTTTCAAAATATTTCTGGCGTTTTGCCATTACAGAATTGGTAGGGATAATTTTTCTTTAGGATTTTAGACATTGCAGCTTGGAAAGTTTAGAAGGATTTGAAGGCAAGATTTATAGAGCCACGATTTTAGAAGATTCAATTAGATTCGATTTTAGAAGATTTCTAGATTAAATTCTAAAAATTCTGCCACACCAGCTCTGTAACCAGCCCTTACCATATATCTTTTATATTTCTTCTGAATGTTCATTTCTTCTAAAGAAATAAAATTAGCAGCTTTTCCTATACATTCTAAATGCATTTTGTTTTTTTAGAATAACAGAAATCCTTAATTAAATCCAAAAATTCTAAAATGAAAAGGAAATGTGTTGCAGAAGGAAACTGAATACACAAAGAAAATTATTCTTCAAAGCTATTATTACGTATTACCCAATATATTAGAAGTATTATAATGTAAATTACCCAGTTGTTTATAATTTTAGCTTTACAGTAATTTTACAATAATTTCCCATTTCTGTTTTCTCATATGATAGAGTTACTGAGCCAGCTTAAATTAAAATTAAATTGTATAGTCTTTGACCACTAGTCCATATTTTTAGTTTGAATTTGACTGTTCTTGTTTGTACATCACGATGAGCTATAATTGATTTTGTTAGCATCAGAACATGCCTTTACATTCTAAGTTCTTTTTACATAAGAGGTTTATTTAAACTTTTGTCTGGCATTGTAGTTACTTTCAGACCTAGCAATAATTTGTTTCACATCTGTCAGGGAGTTTTGGACTATTTAACTTTAATCAGGTCAATAAAACCCTGGTAGGTACATTGTGGAGAGGTTGAGAAGTTAGGAAATAAAGCATGCAGAAATTAGTGAGAACACTGGTTTGTGTATTGAGACAAATTTCTGATTGTTAGAAAAGATGCTTAAAAAGATGGAAATCGATATAAATGAGCCAAAATGTCTGGGAAGGCTTCAAATTAAAAAGAGGCGTTAATATTTTGTTGAGTGTTGTTGTTACAAAACATAAATGTTTTGTAGCTTTTAATGTGTAATTACCCTAATATAGTTTAAGAATCAATGTAATGAGTTACGTGTATTTTAAACTGTGAAATTTTATTAGATTGTGATTTTAATAGGGCTTTTTTAATAAATATTTATAAAAATAAATAAAACTTAATAGTGGTGATGTAAATCCATAATTACCAAGGTTATGTAACTACCTAATTTAATTATTTATAGCTAACAATTATCTCTGCATATTAAAGTGAGTCATTGAATTTCATTAATCCTTACCGTGGTCACAAGGTAAAACACAAAAATGTAAAAATTCATCATGTAAAATTCTTTCCATCTAGTGAGACTTAAAATAATACAAAACAACTTATCACCTCTGGTGCTTTGGTGGGTTATTGAAAAAGTATACTAACTGGGTTATAGCCCCTAGAAATCGACACGAAGCTATGACACTAATTGCATCAGACAGAGCCCCAACTAACTTTCAAAACTTGCCAGTAGTGATGAGTCGGTACTACCGAACCGGGTATTTTGTGACAGGTACTGAAAATCGGTACATCCAAGTACCCATTACTTCAGTATCGAAATCGGTACTTTTCGGTATTCGTTACTTCTATACCGAAATGGGTACTTTTGGTAAAATTTCTATTTAAAAAAAACGTAGTGTACTCTCCCTTCCTTCAATATCACACAAAAAAAATTTTCCGACGTTTCTCAAGTACGCAACTATGCTCATTTGGGGCTGTCCATAAATGATATCACACTTTTTCTGCAACATTTTGGACCCCCTCCCCCTCTTTGTCACAAAGTGTCCTTTAACATACCCCTTCCACCCCTTTTGTCACATGTCACGCAATATTATGTAAACTTATACTTGCAGTTCAAAAATGTAGCACTACGTTATAGATCATATTTCAGACTTTATTTTTAAATTTAAAATATATGTTTTAATGACATCTGTAAATATAACAATAATAATGATTCGTGCACTTATTTTGTATGAAATAAGAGAAAAGTTTATAGCAAAAAACATAATTAATACACAATAGCAATAAAATTACTATTACTGCCGCTACCCTATTCTCAAAACCTACTCTAAATGCCCTTTTTTTTTTTTTGGAAAGAAAGGAATGTAAGTTTAAAAAAAAAAAAAAATCACATGAAAGTTGCTTTCGCCCCAATTAAGGAAATACCTTCAAATTTTGGTAATTTTAAAAATAACTTCAAAATTCAATCTGCTGATTTTAAACATTTTTATTTTAATTCAAAATATGATGTCACACCTCTTGTTACGCCCCCCTCCCCCGCCTTGTCACAAACTGTCACAATTTCACTAACCCCCCTCCAAGCGTGATATCATTTATGGACGACCCCTTTCACGAAATTGATAGAGCACCCATCGATTTTGCTGCGCCTGCACCTGCACACAAGACAGAAACAACCGAAAGCGAAAATGTTTTCCATCCATCCACTTCCCGTGCCAATCCTCCCAACCCCCACTGGCCATCAAAGACAATCTACACAAACCCAACAGCAGAAACAACCTGCCGCACTCTCCTGCTCCTCAGACACTTCCGTAGTTGACATGTTTTCTGATATTCAAAATCTTACTTCATACAGATAAAATCAAACACGTGGTGACGTGGCAGAGTTCCTTCAGTGCGCAAAATCGTTAGCTGCGTATTTCGATGCTCCAAATTGTTACTAGGGCACTTCGGTACTCCAAATCGTTACTAGGGTACTCCGGTACAGCAAACCGTTACTAGGGTACTTCGGTACAGCAAACCATTACTAGGGTACTCCGGTATTTCGTTACTTTGGTACTCTGTACTTGTACTTTTCAAAGTAATGGTTACTTGAGTAACGGGTATTTTGTACCGGGTACTTGTCTGTACCCGTTACTCTCGTACTGGGTACAAGAAAGTACCAAAGTTGCCCATCACTACTTGCCAGCCATGCTTACATCAGGCCTTTCAGGTTTGTTCTAATCAGCAGATCTCTCTCTAGGCAAGCAGCAGCGGTGACAACAGCCAGTCCTTTGTTTTGAATCATGCTGATTATGTTCTTACTTCTCATTTTAACAACCTATGCCGCTTGACATAAAATCTACCTGCTATTTACTAAACCTCTAGACTGAGCGATTATCTGACAAAATAAGACATAAAAAAATCAACACAAAGCTAACTGTTAGTAAAATGTAAATAAAATGTCACTTATCTTCTTTCAAATGTGTCCAATTATTATGAGTGTAAAATATTTAATACTACTTGATAAACTTCATAATGTTTGTTTTATTTTCAAACAAAACAATAATTATGTTAATTAATTCATGTTTAATAATAATACATCCTATTTGTGGATCTGTTTTATTTTTAGTGATTACAAAAGTGAAGTTCAGACATAGATAATAATTTTAATTGAATTTATTCGGCTCCCATTTCCTTATAGGTTCTTAATTTTTTTCATTAATGGTCCTTAAAAGTACTTAATTTCCGTGTGCAGAAATGTGTATGAACCCTGTGAAAATTTAATTTAATCTTTTTTCGATTTTTGATCCCAAATGAACTAGGATAACGAAACATTTTTTCGAAACATATTAATCAACTTTTATGAAACTTTATTTTCCCCTGATGAGTTCTGAATTGGAGTTTCAGTAAAAGGAGATTAATTTTTACATTTTTATAATTTTGTGTATTTTTCCTTTTTTTCTTTTTATTTTTTGAGTTTGTTCTACTAAGGAATTTTTATTTTAATTTTTATATGTTTAGATATTGTGTTAAATCTCTTATACACAGTTGCAAATATTAGTATTGTTGAGGAATTGCCTTGCTTTGAGTCCAATCTAATTTTAACTTTAGATGCTTTAATGCTTTAAGTTTATTTTACTTCAATCCTGTAACTAGTGCAGGACAGGTTTAAAAATTTTGTTTTTAATTTTTAGCCTATTTTTATGTTATGTATCTATCTATCTATCTATCTATCTATCTATATATATATATATATATAAGCCAATTTAAACTGGCATATATATATGCCAAAATATATATATATATAAAATATATATCAATATATATATATATATATATATATATGACATTTCTGTAAAGGATATTCGAAACCATAAGCAATAATTGTAAAAATAACATTTATTACTAAACATAATTGTAAAAATAAGATTTATTACTTGGTAAAAACAATTCAGAACTAAATTTTATATCTTATTGTTCTTATTGCCAGAATGCAATATTTAAAGAATGTGGTAAGAAGAATAGTGTATGTACATTAGTGTATTAGTTTCGTTTTTTATCCTTCGAAAAAAAGTTTGTTTAGATTTTTGAGATGATGTACTTTTTTTTTTTTTTTTTTTAAGGTGGAACATTCTGCTTGCGTATAATGTTGCTGTGATTTTACTTAGTTGTGTTCTACAAGTAAGTTCATTGAGATTTTGCTGCCTTAATTTCTGTTTTCTGTATTTTATCTTATTGTCCTTAATTTCAATTTTTAATTTATCATTACTAAATAGTCCCACACAATTGTATCTATTAAAACCCAATGTTATGAAAATAGGGTTTTCTTATTGTTTCTTACAACTGTTTAATAATCCCTACTAAAATTTTTCCGTAGCATCTATTTGCATAAAAATATGGAAAAAAAAAAAAAAGAATTCTCATTTGTTAGTTTCTTTATGTATTGGTGAAAGAATAAAATAATAAATGATGAGCTGACAGCTTCAGATAATACCTTAAAGCCTTTATTTAATAGTGAAAAAACTTAATTATTCAAGACTCATCTGTACATTTATTTCACTAGATCATTTGCACACGAGGCTTGTAACAAATGTATCCTTCAAGAGACGATACTTTATTTTGCTTAGAGGCAAAATCCATGAGTGGAAAATAGTAAGAACTTTAGAGAGATTTTTCTTAAAGGTGTTCAATTGAAATAAGGTAAAATAAAAAATTTATAACTTAAAAGCAAAACCTTAAATATGTAGTGCATATCAGGCACAGTAAGTAAACATGGTTAAAGTAGCAATATTATTTTATGCTGAATTTGCAATGTAAACTTGTTGTTGCAATGCAACAAGTTAGTTTTCAGTATTAGTTTTGTATTAGTAAGCCCGTGATTCTCTAACAATTTGAATAAGCAAACATATGAAACTTGCTATAGTGTGAATGAGAATGGGAAAATTAAAAAATAGAGAATAAATATAACTTAATATAATATTTAATTTAACTTGATATTAATCAAAATGCTGATGTCACTGCTAATGTTGAAAATAATAACTAAAGCAATATTAAATAATAACTATTACTACTCGCCACTGAGCAGGCTCCCGACCAGGGTACCATACCACATGGGATTTTCACTTACTCATCGGAGTTGAACTACTTCCAGCCAAAACTCAGCCCAGGGCTAAGATGAGAGTACAGACAGCATTATTGTGTTTTTAAAGAAAAAAAATAGTAATAACATGGGCAAATAAGGCTTTTGAAGAAGGTACAGGTTTCAGCGAAGAGACATTTACTGAGTTGTTCTACTATTAAACAGAGTAATTCCATAAATAATACCAATAGGGAAGTAACATGAGCATACAAGGCTGTTGAAGAGAGTACATGTTTTCAATGTAGAATACATGAGGTGGAGGCACACTATTGTAGACAATGATATGCATCTAGATAAAACTGCAGTTAAATGTAAATATAATAATGTTAATACTCATTTACAAAGCATATGTTCAAAACATTTAAAGCCTACATTTTGCTTCAAAGTGTTCAACTACAGTTTAAGGCATATATTACAATTGTTTTATCCTACAACTATCCATCCAAATCATCCATTGCTATAAAATGCTGGGTTGCAAAAAGGATATGAGCTATGATGTGCAGTGCAAAAGTTAGCTATCTTAATGTACAGATAAATGTAATAAAAATGCACACTATTGTAGACAATATAAAAGCACAATTCAATTTCCAATATACCTCTGGGTTACACAAAATGCATAATAAAGTTAAGAATGAAATGTTACCAATAGTGAAATAGCATGAGCATACAAGGCTCTTGAAGAGAGTATATGTTTTCAATATCTAGACATCATTATGGTGTTGTTTTATAATAAATCTATATGTATATTATAGTTTTATGAAAGGTGAAGGCACACTAATGTAGACAACAACAATAATAATGATAAACTAGACAATAATGCAATTAAATGTGAATATAATGATAACATTCATTTATAAGGGATATGTTCAAATCATTTAAAGACTACATATCACTTCAAAGTGTATGTTTACATTTTTAGGCATATATTACAATCATTAATCCTTACAGTTATATATTTAAAATTGCTGTACAGAATGGGTATAATTGCTGTACATAATATGTTTACTACAACTACAAAAAATTACAAAACAATTAAAGATTACAAAAAATGCTGGGCTGCAAAATGAATAAAAGCTTAAAGTGCAATGGAGTGGCGAGCTATCTTACAATTGGACAGATGTGAAGCTAATGCTGCTACTGCATAACAGTCATATGGGCCCTGTTGTGCAGTAGCTCATGATATGTTCATTGCTAACCTATTTTCTAAAATGCTAGCTGTCCATACTGGCCAGTACTCATGAGAAGGCTTGCTCAAGAAAAGAGAAATGCAGAGTGGTCTGGATCACCTTCATCACCGCACTCACAGTTATTAGAATTAGTGAGCTTAAAGTGATGCAAATATGATGGAAAGGGCCCTTATCCAGTGAGGAACTGCATGAGACACAAGGAGTTACTCCTTATTTCTACTCTGACTTTTCTGAAGTGCCGATACAGCCTTGCTCTAATTTTTTCTAAATCCCAAAGCACTTGCCATTTAGACAGTAGTTGTTTCCACATCGTCGTTCTCTTCAAGAAAGAAATAGGAAGTGCCATTGTCTGCTTCTTACTTGACAGATTATTAGCTGCCTCTTTTGCTAACATATCAGCATGTTCATTGCCCTGGATTCCTCTGTGGACGTGCACCCAGGACAAGATGGGTCTTGGACCCAGGTGTCTTTTCAGCAGCATTCTCTGTATATTCTGAATTAAAGGATTTCTACTGTGAGTTCCTGTTATTGCTGCAAGGCTTGAAACTGAATCACTATTTATGATGGTGCTATATTTAGATTGTTGGAGAGCGTAGCGAATGGCTGCTTGCAAAGCAGTCAATTTTGCCTGGAACACATAGAATTTTGTGCTCCTAGATGTTTTTTCCAACTATGAGTTTTACTTTACCATTACACAATATCTGCTTTCCGTACTGAGTTCTGTTTTCGAACCATCCATGTACATGGTCATATCATACGCTTCATGCAGTGTAGTTTGAGGGATCAGTCTTTCGAAGTCAAAGCTCGTCGGATGCCACCAATCAATTGTAATGAGTTTTTCGCAGTCTTTGTAAATTTTATCCCAAAGCATAGACAATGTGTTCATCCGAATGAAGCATGTTACAGCTGTGTGCCTTTCAACTATCAGGTCTATTGGTGGTATACCGTCTAAGACCTGTAATCCTGCAGTCGATATTCTATAAGCTCTACAAATCAATAAGAGCTATTGTCACTGCATAGATAGGAGACTGCGCTTCATTTGTTTCGTTAGGTTTGTGCCCCATACAGATGAGCCACATAGTACAACTTTAAATAATAACTAAAGGAAGCAATAACTAAATTATGCATTTCATGCATTAAAGCTCATTCAGCTTATAATATCTTAAAACTAACATGAAAATAGCTTCTGGAATGTAAATTATAAAATTAAATCATCATAGATCAACTAGATCATATAGCCATATAGTACATACAGACAAGCCATATAGTACAACTTTAAATAATGACTTGAGGAAGCAATAACTAAACTAGGCAGTTCACGCCTTAAAGTTGATTCATCTTATAATATCTTAAAACTAACATGAAAGTATCTTGTGGAATGTAAATTATAAAACTAGATCATAATAATAAGATTTATAACATCCTATTGATTGTAATATTGGAATCTTAAAGTTAAAAATTTCAAATGTATAAAAATAATATCTTACCTGTATTTAAAAATAAAAGTCTTAAAACTTAATATTCGTTTTAAATTACTTTACACATTGTTGCCATCCTCAGCTTCAAAACAAAGATAAATTAAACATTTTAATATTTTCCCTTGTTTTCAGATACTGAGTTAGTATTTTTATGTTTTAGCATTTCATGTAAACTTTTTGAATAAACAAGCCAGAAGAGAAAAAAAAAAAAAATCTGAAAATTTTGAATACTTTTTGCAACTGCAAACAGTAACAATTTTTATGTGTGAAATATCCAGAGCAAATCTAGATACCTTAATTTTATATCCCAAATATAAATAGTGAAGCAAATATTAAAAAAAAAATATGACAAGCTTTATACTCTGTAAACTCTACATTTATATTCTGTAACATTACATTTATACTGTGTAAACATAAACATTAATTAGCTAAGTGTATCTATGCAGTGCACATTTTTTTTTCTGCCTTTTTTAATATGAAATTCTGGTCAAGCTTGTCTATAGAAGATTACATGCTTAATGAAAATTAAAAAAAAAAAAAAAAAAGTTTAACCAAAAGATGAAAATATACTTTTAGACAGGGAGTGAAGGAAGTAATTATACGTTTGAGAAATAAAAAGGAAGTATAGCGAAAAACATTGAAGAAAATACAATTGAATATGGTTGAAAAAATTTTCAAGTAATCCATATTTGAGGAAAATTAATTAAAAATATAATTTTTCAAATATGTTAGAAACTTACATTCAGAACAAATTTATCTGAAAATTAATTAAAACAACATAAAAATAATACAGACAGGAAAATAATTTTAAAAAAAGGGAAAAAATTGAAATGATTTTCTCAAAGTTTTCCATATAAATTTCATGGAATTTAAGCAAATAAATAATAATTCTTAAATCATTATCATGTCAAAATGATTTAAGAAAAATGTACAATTAAAGCATGTTTTCAAAATAGTAATATTAATATAGCTTCCAACTTTGAAATATATAAACTCTGGGAGATTCTCCAGTATTTGCTTAAAATTTACTATTAAAATAATCTCCCTGTACACATAAAGATTTTTTACATTTTTGCCTTTAAAAAGAGACAAGAAATTTAGCATTTATTTCATCTTTATCATATAAATTAATTTAATCGCATAATTTTTTGTCAATTAACTAAAGACTTAAAGCATTTAATATTTATATAAGGTTTAATAAACTTATTTCATTTTTTATTCATGTAATTATTTAGTTATGTAGTAATTAAGATACTGTGGACTCTCACATGGATGTTTAGACAATATTTAAAGAATATTTTTGAGTATTTTTATCACAAATATGTATTGTCTCTGATAATTTGCATTAATAGCTTATTGAACATAATGATGTATTTTAATATTTCAGTTGATTGGATGTACATATTTTGAAATACTTCGAGAAAAGCAGTGTTGGCTTGTGCAACTTCTTGGCATTGCTTGTCAACGTAAACTGAAAGGTGGAGCTGATCCTAGTGCGTAAATATGATTTTTGCCTTTTTTCTTTTTAAGTGAATTTTTGATGAATCTGAATATCTTGATTAGTTTCATTTTCGTATTTCTTCCTGTGTAAAGATTTCCTATTTCTATTGAATAGATGATGAAATTTGTCAGTTTGAGTCAGATCCTGGACTGATCTATGATATCATCTGTTTTGCCTTCCTTCTACTTCAAAGGCGTTTGTTTTCTAGTTATTACTTTCAACATGTTGTAAATGAAGTTAAAGCTCAGCAAGTTTTGTCATCAAGGTTAGAAATTATTTTTACTTAATTTTAAATAGGATGCCTTTTTATTCTTATTTTAATTTAAAAAAAAAAAAAAAAAAAAAAACTTCATCTGTTTTTTATCTGTTTAAAACATTCTAAAAATGAATCTAAATCTAGAGTAATTTTTATGTGAAATTTTTATAATTTTCATTATTCATTTGTGATTAATTATTTTATCATAATTTACACAATAAGTATTAATTTCTTAATGCTATCATTTTGAGTTATAACCTGTCATAGACGAATATAGGTGTGATTGTAGTAGATTGAGTTTTCAGCATAGTATATGCATACTTGAATGGAAATATATGACATTTCAAATATTTCATACATTTTAAATGGATATATTATGCCTACTTGATGTTTATATTACCACTGAATCAATATAAGAAAATTTGATGCCTTTTAAAATGTATTTTCTCTCATTTTACCTTTCTGATACATATTATAAGGCAACCTTTCTTGTAAAAATATATTTCATTTTTGGAGGTTTTTTTTAATGAAAAAAATTAGAAGGTTGGTTTTAGTTTGGTTAATTACAGCAAAGCCTCGAAAGCTATCTGCCTTTATGGAGAATTTTCTAAGAATTAGGAGGAGGGACTTGGTTGACCTTATACAACAGCTTATGTGTTGATCTACAAGAAGGATAATTAAATGATGTAAACATCATTTATTGAAATAAAACTAAATATGTATTTCTTCTTTTATACTAGAAATTAAGAAATAATGTTAAGCATTTCATATGTTTAAATGTTAGGCTATGCATCTTGAAAGCAGATTAAGAAAAATAATTATCTTATACAAAGCGATATGGTATTCCGTCATTCGGAAAATTTTGCAGTTTGTCAAATTGAAGCACATTTTCTTCTAATAATATTATTGCTGCTGATAAGAAGTGACCTTAACTGAAGCGAAAGTTTAAATACAGTCTTTTTTGCTCACATTGCATAATTCTAGCATGCATTGTGGCATGATTTTTCTTTTAATGCAACATTACGAATTGACAACTCAAAAGTTCATTTTTGTCATATGTTCTTTTATTTTAAAAAGGAAAAAATTGCTAGTCAAACTTTTAATAAAAGTTGATTTCTGCTCTCACTATCAAAATAATTTGTCACTGAGCATTCACATTATGCAGATGAGGAACTATCAACCAGATAATATATTCTAGAATATACAGTTCATCATTATTTGTGAAGAAGATTGAATATATAAACTGTTATGATGATGGTTACCCTATACTTTAACAAAGCAGAGTATGCTTGCTCAGGTTTCTGCATGTTATTCTTTTCTGAAAAGGAAAACAAGAAGCTTCTTTACTGCAATGGTTTTCACTGGAGATGAGAAGATACTATATAACAATGTTACAAGAAACAAAAATCACAGAGTAAGCCAAAAGAACCTTCTGTAGTAAAATTGAGAGAAAGGCTGCATCCCCCCAAAATAATGCTTTTATGTGTGATAGGACTACAAAGAAATTGTACACTACAAATTATTGCTACCAAATCAAACAATAAAATTTTGAAAAATACTGTTCTCATATGGCAGTTTTAAAAGCAAAAATTGAAGGAAAGTGATCAGAATAGGTAATTGTTGAGGTAATTTCTTCCATTATGACAATGCTTGGCCCCACATTCTATGAATGTCAGACAAAAATTTATTGAGTATTGCTGGTATACTTTGATATTCACTAGACTTGCCTCTCCATATTTTGATTCCTTCAGAAGTGATTTCAGAATTTTGTGAATAGTCTGATGTTAACTTCTTTGAAGGCTATTAAATAGTTACTCAGTAAGTTCTTTACAAATAAACCTAAGGATTTTTTTAAAGCAACCATTTTCCAGCTGCTGGAGAAAAGGCAAAAGGTCATATCAAAATGGTACTTATGTGATTCAGTTTAATTTTTCTAATATTTCTGTACTGCTTCATTTGTATTTATTATAAAAAAAAACTGCAGAACTTTTGAGATGACACAATACTTTTTATTTGTGCTAAATCTGTTTTTTTATTTTTAGTATCATATTATGATTCTTATGCATGAAGTTTGGTGCTAATTTGAACTGAGTTTTAAATTTTATAACATATTCATATATTGAATCATAATTTTATAGAGGTGCTGAATTAATACATGAAATTCAGATGAAAGAAGTTCAGGAGCAGCAAGCAAATGAAAAAGAAATTATGGAACGTATTAAAAAGAAAATGGACCGCATTCGTGCTTATCAACAAAAAATTCGGGGTGGTGAAAACATGGAACCGGAAACTCATTTTCAAGGTATAATGGAAAAAATATTTGTTTTAATGGATCTAAAGCAAAACTTTTTTAAATATCATGTATAATTGTTATCATTGAATACTGATATAAATATTTGACATAAAATATTTTTACTTTTATTTTTCGAAAATTTTACCCACCTGAAAAATGTTTGTGGCTTATGTGCGCATTCCGTATCATAAGGAATTTGAATTATACTTGCTTTCATTCTCTCTCCCTTTTGATGCACACCCATATATATAGATATGTATTTATGTGTGTATGTCAGTGCAAGGAAGTTTTAGTTTTAAATTATATTAGTAAAAATTTCTTATAAAAGTTGCTATCTGCAGAAAGCTTTAGAATATAATTTAATAGTGATATAAGAACATAATAATTAATTTTCATCAATAATTAAGATTTAAACAAAAAAATGCTTTTAAATAAAATCTTGATTTTTGTTAAATTTGTTAGTCTTATCATGTGCATGTATTAGGTAGTAAATGAGTTGTGATTTACGTAAACTTCTCTATTATTAGTATTTTGAATTTATGACAGTGTGTTTTGTAACAAGTTGTTTTATAATTTAATAGTGATATAAGAACATAATAATTCATTTTCAACAGTAATTAAGATTTAACCAAAAATACTTATTTTTTAAAAAATAATATCTTGATTTTTGTTAAATTAGTTTTATCATGTCCATATATTAGGTAGTAAATGAGTTGTGATTTACATAAATTTCTATATTATTAATATTTGAATTTGTAATAGTGGGTTTTTATTGTCTTTTATTCCATATGCTACATAATATAAGAAATGCCAAATTAATTTTTTTTCATCCAGTTGTCTATTTAACGAAACATTTCACTTAACTTCTTTTAAAAAATATCTCTTTTATTCAGCACTGGAAATTTCAACATAATGGTGGGGGGAAAAGCTGTTTTTGAAAGGATTTTTCTTTAGAAATGTTGGATGGAAATAACTGGATATGACTTGGTGTTTATAAAATATTCTTTGTTTATTTTCCACATTTATAGTAATTTTTAGATTTCTATTTGCTCACTTATGAGTGGAAAAGCAGTTTGAAATATTCTATTTCTAATATTTCTGGCACTTGAAAAGTACATCTCCCTCCTAAAACTAGTAATCTGATGTCATAAAAATGCAGTAAAAAAAGTTTTCACTTTTATTGCAATATGGATATATTCTCGTATGAAATCAGGCCTTAAACTTTTTTCAGTTATAAACCTTAAGCTTCTAAATTATGTTTGAATTAGCACTAGACAGATATTCCTGTGAAATAGTGAAAATTCTTTTACTTAGATTGTTTCATGTAAATATTTTCTCTAAATATCATTAATTTTTATAATCATGCTAAATAATACTCCTTTTTATGGAGTTTATGATTAAAAGATTCTTGTTATACAAATTTAATAAACTTTTGAAATCTTCATAAAAACTGTCTGGAACATGTTAACTTCTGTGAATACATTCATAAAGCCTGTCTAATTAATATTAACTTTGAAATATGAAATGTGCATTTTTCTCAAAGTAATCCTATCTGGGAATTTTAATATGATAGTTTTTAGACTACTATAATATTTTTTTAGGGTTCCAAATAATGATAGACTTTTATTTTCTTGTTTAGCAGCATAATTCTTTGTAGAATGCAATTTTTTGTAAGTAGTATCACCGTATAAAATATATTTCTTATATTATTTCAAATTTCATTCCTTGCAACAATGGTGCAAGAGAATTATTTAAATTTAATTTAATTTTACTATATTTTTGTGAAACAATTTTGTTTGTACTTAGCAGCTTTTAGCACTAATTACCTTGTGTGATTTCATTTTTTTTTTTAAATGTAACTACATTTAGTTCTAATAGTTTGGTTTCCTTTTAAATAATTTTAGACTTAGTTCTATTTTTTAAAAAACTTGGTTTAAAATTTCAACTTATAGTATTTTTTAATAACAATGGTTCATTTAAAATTTTCAAATTTTAGTGAATTAAATTGGCAATACCATTTAGATTCCCAGTTTGTTAATATTTTCCTGTCCCAAAAATTTATGTATGCTCTTAGAATTTAAACGATATTGTAAATTAGTTCGCATCAATTATTATTATTTTTTGCAATTAGAATTTCTTACTTCTTAATTCAATTTTATATTAGCTTTATATGAATAGAGAATATTTGTTAAATTCAAATTTTATATGTATGTATATATATATATATAAAAATATAATTCATTGTTTCAAAACTGATAGTTTTTGGGGGGAGAGTCTAAAAATGGTTTTTAATATCTTTAATTAAACATTTTTTTCTAATAATTAAAATTTGTATTTTTTCTTAATCTTTTCTGAGAAAGATGAAGAAAATATTAATAAAATTAAAAACTATATTTCTTAATATTTTCTTGTGCAAATAAAACAAGAAACAACATTATGTTGCTGAAGAAGGTGGAAAACTCTTTTAAGAGCCATACAGTTACTATTCACTAGATAATTGATTAGTAAAATAGCTGCTGTGTTCTACATCTGTAAAACTTAATTACTGAAAGCAACATTTGATATAATTTAAATCTTTTTGTTCTGAAAGCAACTGAGTTTGACTAACAAATATATGAATTCCATTTTCTTTTAAAAATGGGGCATAGTTCTCATGGAAAGATGAGCTTGTTCTGCCAAATTACCATTATGGAATATATTACTATACTACTTAGAAAAGAGTTAGAATACAAACATTACAAAATTTTGAAATAACATAATAATCAAAATAAACTGATCTCTGATATGAAGTGAAAGTTGCATTACTGTTATTATTAAATATTCAGCTTCAGTTATTCTAATTAAGATAAGCAATATTTTATTTTAAAGACTTTTTGAAAGCAACATTGAGAGCAGTTTTGTATTTGAATTGAATTTATATTTTTTGGAGGGGATATTATGTATATAAAAGTTTTGAAAAAAGTGCTCTTATTTTGTTTTTGTATCTAAATTAAGTTTGTTGGGTGGATAATTTTATATAGCTAAGGTAGAAAATTTTGACTTGAAGAATTTTTCATTTGCATGGTAAAATTTCAGTGCTTGATATTTTAAGGTTTGAATATTATTAACTTGTATCAGATATTCCAGTTTTATTTAATATATTAGAATAATGCTGAGAGTTGAGTAAGTCACTTTGAACATTAATATTTTTATCTAGGACCAAGTAACATTAAAGTCATCACATTTCCAGAGGCAATTGCTCTAAATGAATATTTTGAAATGTTGAATTTACGCTTGCACTGCAGAGGTATTTCGTTTGGCATGCGGTTTATATGTGATTGCTAATAATATGGCTCCATATTGGTTTTCTTTAACCTCCAAAGAAAGGTGCATGCACTGTTTAACATAAGTCATCATCCCTGATTGTTTGTGTGTTCTTTTGAAACACGTAAAAATATTTATCATATCTTATCTTTTTCCTTCAAGTCATCTTACTATATGACCTAAATGGGATTTTCTTTTCTGCAATTTCTTCTGGGGCATATAAATCACAAACTGTTGCTGTTGTGTTTTCTAACTACATATTCATCTTCTGTCTCTCATTTTTCATCATCATTCTCTGCTTTCATGAAAGCTGTGTATATAAATAATAAGAATTAACTATCTTTAATGCTACAGTTACTCAAAGTCCATCCGAATTATGATGGCTTTCTTTGCATTATTTCTGTACACAATATTCATTACATGGCCCACCAACAGCCGAGCAGTAAAGTCCCTGAACACTGGTAGTTCAGTCCGAGGTTGGAGTCCCGTGAGCAGACTGGCTGCATGGATGTTTTCATGGTTTTCCCCATGTGTAACCAATTCGTACGAGCCAGTTTCCGTAGAAAGTCCTCTATGAAGGCATCCCTCCTTTCCGTGTAGTGCCTTAGGGCGGAACACATAATAATAAATTTTTAAAAAAACTGTTACATTTGCTTCATAATGTTTTTAATGGCCTTTTTTCTTAAATTTGTAATCGAAAATCCTTTTATTATCAACCATAATCGTATTATTATATCAGCAGGATTTTTTAATTACATGACGTTGATTTTTGTTAGGCATGTATTTGCCGATGATACCATCCAGTCATGTGTTTTACATGTTGACATACTTCGCCAATAAATTAAGATATTACATTTTCAATTATGTCATATATTTACATCAGAATAAAAAAATATAAAAATTATATCTTTTCCTTATTAAGAAGATTTTACTATTACATGTATCAGAACTAAACTTATCTTTTCATTTTACTTAGAACACTTTACTATCACATATATCAGAATTAAAATAATCTTTTCACTTAACTTGCAGTTTCATTTCTGAATATTTGTGTGCATAAACATTTTTCATTTTATTCGATTTCTTGTATTTGTGTGCTTTTTGTGTTCTTGCATTTTTTAATATCTTTATGAGTGAGTTATTTTCTTGAAATCTAATTTGTTTATGTAATTTATGTGGCTTTCATTTTTAAGTTCAAATATTATATATTAATTCCAAAATTTATTATGCTATTTGAATGAACTATAACTGTGGAATTTTAATCACTTGTTTATATTTGAACTGTTATTGTTTTGAAATGGTGAGTGTTTGTTTAATCCATGATTGTTAAAGATTGCTTTTTTCTAGTGATATATATTTTAGGCCAAGAATGGGAAATGTGACTTTTTTGGATTATTAACTGTCCTTTCTTATGTGTTTTTCTAAATGTTATATTTATCTATAATTAATATCTAATTGGGCTCAACATTTCTGTAAATATATATCCATTCACATGCACATTAATTATTCTATTCTGAGACCATGTAACTTAAATGTCAGTAAATCCCTTTCTGATAGCAAATTTTGATTCTAAGCAAATTATTAAGAAAAATAAAATACTAAAATGCAATTAATTATTATTTTATTACAATATTATTTATAATATAATATCTTATTTATGTGTAAGCATAGTAGTAATCACTTCTGAATCATTGTTAGAATCTGAT